ATGTGTGCAAGAGTGTAATGCCATCATTCTTGCTGACGTAGGAAAGTAGATGCAGATTCACAGTTTGTCTAGCCTCCCTGACCTTTGACTTCTCATTCTGCCCTGCACAAAGCATGTGAGGTTTTAATGACTTCCAAAGCAGATATGCTGCTGTTACAGCAGGGAGACAAAAAAGGCTGGTCAATTTACATTTATGTTTCGAGTATTACTTTCACTAAAACTGAATAGGGGGCTGATTTTCCTGATTTAAGTTACCTCTCAACACATTTATTTATTTGTGTGGACACACACACACACACACACAACACACACACACACACACCACAAACACACACACACACAACACAACACCACACACCACAAACACACACACACACACACACCACACCCACACACCACACACACACACCACACACACACACAACACCACACAACACACACACACACACACACACAACACACACACACACACACACACAACACACACACACACACACACACACACCACACACACACACACACACCCACACACAACACACAACACAACACAACACACACACCACACACACACACACACACACACACACAACAAACACACACACAACACACACACACACACACACACACACACACACAAAACAACCTGAAAAGCTGCAATGACATTGCCAGGCTCCCAGTTGCACTCTCCCTCCCATCTACCAAAGTGTTGCTCCCCCCACCTCCTGGTGCAGAGGGTACATGTGAGGGTTACTGCAGCGGCAAGGAAGACTTGCAGTGCCAGCCCACCCCACCACGCCACCCACACCCACACACGCTTGTTTCCCTGTCATCCCACTGTGCCAGCTGCAGCCCGCTGCCCACCAGCACGATGTCCCAAAGGGCCATGCTGGTTGTGACTGTGTATTTGTGTGTTTGTGACTGTGTATTTGTGTGTATTTGTGTGGTGTGTGTGCATTGTATGTGTGGTTTAAAGGACAGAGACTTAGCCTAAAATCCTGTCACCCAGCTGCTTCCACTGTCAAGATGGTCCCAAAGACCCACATCAACAGATGTACAGAGCAGCGACAGAGAAGCACACAGAAAATCTCACATCTCTCAGTGCACTGCAGTCTGCAACCCTCTCTGCTTATACTGTAAGATAAATGAAGCAATCGTGTCCTCTACATTTTGGCTTGTTTTTTTTTTGGTGGATGCTTTCAGCCATTTGAGCTTGGTGCAGTAGTACTACGTGTTTACAAATGCTGTGATGTCCTTGGCTGTCGTAAGGAGCCACTTTTGGATTCTGGTGTCAGTTTACTGATGCAGTCTGGGATCAGAGGGTGGTGGGGAGGGACTGATGCTGCATGAAGACACTTGTACCAAGCTATGGCAATAACAAAGGTTTGATAATGATTAGACAAATTAAGGATTGAGTAAACAATTATTCACTTGAGATTAGTTTTGTGAGGTTAACTTAATGCTGTACAGATTGGAAAGTCCATTTAGGCAAATTTAGGGCCAGATAAATAAACTTACTTGACTTGAAAACAATTTAGTTTCCAACTCTCCCAACTTAAAGTTTTTGGACTTTCCACGAGGAAACAACAGGAAACTCTTAATAGTGCATGATACACATAAATGCAATACTGGAAGTATAATATATCAGCACATATTCATTTGACTAAGGAGAAGCACAACACCTTTTAGCTGGGTTACTATACCCTGAAGATTTGGCGGTGTAATCATAAGTTAAGAAAAGACTATTCAAATGAATATTCAACATTATTACTGCTTATAGTCAGGGACGTCAATCCTCAGTGAAAGTTGGTACCTATATAATAGAAAATACATCACATTCAGACATTTGGAAACAAAACACAGTATTCTAACATCCAAGTAGTCAATGTTTCTCTCTAAGATCAAATGATGCTTGGACTGCAGTATCAGGCCCATTCCAAAGTATTATTACAGTCACCCACATATTAATATATCTGTAAACATTCATCATCTCCCTTCCGCTCTCCCCCAGCGACTACACCACTTCCTCAAAGCTGTGTAAGTAGATCCGGGCAAAGGAATGGTCCTATTAGCGCCAGCCAGTAGCACCCATGGGAGCCGGAAGGAAAAGTGTCCCACCACTCCGCCCGGCACCATAACATTACTCATGAAACATTCACATCCTTATGTGGCCAGGATGATCACGCCAGCCTCCCATTGGTGGAGACCGGATCGGCCCAGAACAGGAGATGAGGTTCTATTGGTGTGGTGGGAGAGAGGAGAGAGATGGTGGGAGGCGGGTGAGGTTATCACATCGATCGATCCGTCCTCAGCCCACACAGACGAGGGCAAGGACAGCAGACTTTCTGAAGATTGTTATACTTGTGTGAGTTGCAACAGTTAGAGGTCAAGTTAGATCTTGATGTGAAAAATAACTACTTTTAAGGGATGACAAACACATAAGAAATGTAGATTAATAAGCTAAGCAGAGCTAAATGTACTTTTGCCACAGCAGCATTACATTGCATTTAGCTGACGCTTTTATCCAAGAGACTTACAATAAGTGCATTCGACCAAGAAGATACAAACTTGAAGAAATCATATAAGTACATCAGGTTTCATAGAGCCAAACATTTCAAGTGCTACTCAACTGGCTTTAGATAAACCAGTCCTTTGTTAGTATATAAGTGCTTTGTTAGTAATTCTATCGCTCGAAGTGGAGTCGAAAGAGATGAGTTTTCAGTCTGCGCCGGAAGGTGTGTAAGCTATCTGCTGTCCTGATGTCAATGGGGAGCTCATTCCACCATCTTGGAGCCAGGATAGCAAACCCACGTGTTTTTGCTGATGGGAACTTGGGTCCCCCTCGCAGCGAAGGTGCAGCGAGCCGTTTGGCTGATGCAGAGCGGAGTGCAGCCATTGAGACATTTTTGGTTGAATTTACCCCCGTTTTAGATATGCTTGTCTAATATGTTCTCCTCTATTGTGACGTGTTTTTTTAGCATTTTCTGAACATTTGTCGTCCATGTTTAGAATACACTAAAGAGTAGGCAAGATATGAAATATGATCTCATGTAGCATTTTCAATCAAGTTTTTCTAATTTATTATAATATTTCCAACAATCACTCTGCTTTTGATTCTGTTTTTGATCTCTATCAACCTCTTAATGATTCCTTAACTGCTCAATGCTAGTTGCTGATTGTGTTAGCAGTGTGTGGTAAAACATCAACCTGGTGAAGTTTGAAATTAGGTTCTTAAGAGTGGTTAGACTGAATCGAAACAGTACAAGAGACGTAAACATTATTTTTGAGCTGCAGATAGAGTGAGGTTATAATTATCAGTATTTTTTTTAGCAAACTCAAGTTTTACATTCATTTAATACATTTTTAGTATTAAAACATGATTTACTCAAGCTTTAAGGCATGATTGGTGACATGGCAGTAAACTGTCGTCAAAAGATGGTATGTTTTCAATTTGTATCATAAAGTAAAGGTCTTTAATGACATCCACTTAAAACAGACAGGGCAGAACTTCAGTGTTAGTATTATTAGATCTCAGTGCTGCGTTTGACACTGTTGACCACAGCATATTACTAGACCGACTGGAAAACTGGGTGGGACTTTCGGAAACAGTTCTACATTGGTTTGAATCCTACTTAAAGGACAGAAACAACTTTGTTTCTATAGGTAAATACACATCTGAGTTGACAAATATGATATGTGGGGTACCTCAAGGCTCCATCTTGGGGCCTCTTCTCTTTAACGTCTACATGCTACCACTGGCTCAGATAATGAAAAACAACAAAATAAGTTACCATAGCTATGCAGATGACACACAAATTTACGTAACAATTTCACCAGGAGACTATGCTCCAATTCAAACACTGAGTAAGTGCATTGAACAAATCAATGACTGGATGTGTCAGAACTTTCTCCAATTAAACAAAGATAAAACTGAGGTAATGGTTTTTGGAGCCAAGTCAGAACGTATAAAAGTTAGCGCTGAGCTACAGTGTGCAATGTTCAAAACAACAGAGAAAGCCAGAAATCTAGGTGTAGTCATGGACTCTGACCTGAGTTTCAACAGTCACATTAAAACAGTTACTAAATCAGCCTACTATCACCTAAAGAATATATCTAGGATTAAAAGACTAATGTCACAGCAGGATTTTGAAAAACTTGTCCATGCTTTTATCTTCAGTAGACTCGACTACTGCAATGGTGTCTTCACAGGTCTCACTAAAAAATCTATTAGGAAGCTGCAGCTGATTCAGAACGCCGCTGCTCGAGTCCTCACTAATACTAAGAAAGTGGATCACTCCTGTTCTGAAGTCTTTACACTGGCTTCCTGTGTGTCAAAGAATAGATTTAAAAAATATTGCTACTGGTTTATAAAGCACTGAATGGTTTAGGCCCAAAATACATTACTGACCTCCTGCTAAATTATGAACCATCCAGATCTCTCAGGTCTTCAGGGACTGGTCAGCTTTCTGTCCCCAGAGTCAGAACTAAACATGGAGAAGCAGCGTTCAGTTATTATGCTCCAATATCTGGAACAAACTCCCAGAAACCTGCAGGTCCGCTGCAACTCTGACTACTTTTAAATCCAGGCTGAAGACTTTTCTTTTGTCGCTGTATTTTTTCTTTTAATGTTTATTTTATTAGCTTTTCTTTTTAATGACTGATTTTAAATGCCCTTTTCTTAATGTCTTTCATTTTTTGTAAAGCACTTTGAATTGCCTTGTGTTGAAAAGTGCTATATAATAAACTTGCCTTGCCTTACACAATGTATGTGTTGTGTTTATTAACATTACCACCAAGTAATGTTGGACTAAGCTACCGCTGATGAAAGTGATCCGATATGGTCAAAAGTGCCAGCATAAGTAAGTGGAAACTAAATATAACAAGCGTGATCAAGATGTGTCAAAACTGGTTTAATAAATAACTGGGATGATTATTTAGAACCATGAACACTCCACTAAAGAATGGAAACCTTTGTATAAAATTAACGTATGTCCCTTGTAGAATAAAATGTATACAATATGCATATTCAGCTTTTAACACCAGCAGTGATGCATCTTTAATTCTTTATTTTGCTGTGTCCCATTTACAGAAAATACGATGCCTTTTTGAGACAGTGACAAGATATGAAAAACGGGTCATTTTGAACTGAGTTGGTAACTTAAAAAAAAACCCACACCTGCACGGTAGAAAACAAAAACTGCAAATATTGTTCCCTTCATTAAAGCCATGTAACCAAACATGAAGCTAATGCATGATTCAACAATTGAACTACTGACATCCACATGCATGACACTCCAGAGTCATGGTGGACCGCTTAATTTTTTTAACCTCCATCCATCAAGTGTTTTATTCCAGAAATCTCTGTGATAGCAAAGCGACACAAGGAGAGCACTTTACTCAGGCGAATAAAACACGCCACTATACACCACACAACGTTTTAAAGAGTTACTTTCCTTAATATTGAAAACAAACCAACAACATAAAAAGATGACCATTGATACACAAATAACATTAAGGCACCTGAAACAAAAGGGTTTGTGACGGTTTAGAAACAGTTGAGGACTTTTTAAGGCTATAAATATTGGCAGTTTTGCAACACTGCCTGCCTAAAACTCTGAATTTTCTTTATACCAAATCATGATTTAACAACCAAAATCAGTGATACATCTTGTATTAGAAAAGGGGAAAAAATTACTAAAGTAAAAGTAATAATAGAATCAAACTAATAATTTAGAAGTTTAAATGGGCAGAAAATTAACTTTCCATCAATAAAAAGCAGTGACATGTTTTTTTGCCCTTTTTGACTACCAGTTCAAATATGACAGGGTTCAAATTCTATTTTGCAATGCAATTATGAAATATTAGGAACCGGAACAATCATTTATACATCTTCCTGTTCCTAATAAAGGTTTCCTTCAATAGAGAAAGTTAAGTGCACCATTTCTAAACCCTTCAGAAAGTCCTTCATAGGTGGTACCTCACTGTAAAGGTTCTTAACTGTGGGACTCTGGATATGAAGTGTTATAAAACTTTCCTATTTCGACTGGCATAAATAAAAGGAATGACGTTGTAAAAAAAAATAAAAATAATATTAAATCGTAATAATAACAATAATAATAATAATAAAAATGTGTGACTTGTCTTTAAGTTACTTATTTCAAATATACACAGCGACTCCTTTAGTATTTATTTACACATATATACAGAGTATTCATTTCTGTTTTGATCAAATACCTCGAATGGTGTTGCTGTGAAATTGAACTCTCTCGATGTACACTTATATCCCTTTGAGATTTGAGAACATGGAGGTCAAACTGGGCAGCGCGACTCGGAGCCTCAACACGGCGGCTCTTGAAAAGGCACTTGCTACCAACTCAAATACTGCAAAAAATCCTCAAACAGAGCTTTCAGCCAAGACAACTGAGAGACCGAACAAAAATGGAAGGCCACATAGTAGGCACTGGGGTTTCTGTCCCCTCTCCCCTCCAGGCCAAGTGTTTTGGTAAGGCTGGCGCATGACGGCCACAGGTGGATCGGCGGGCAAAGCCGGGAAGAGACAGAGCAAAGGAGGGTTTCTCTGTTACTGTGGCTGCAACAGTCCGTTTCCCTCAAAAACGTTGCTTTACTGTCCCTTTAAAGTGTATCTGCCCCACCACAGACACTGAATAGGAGCCCGCTGACAATTAAACAAAATCATATTCTGTAAACAAAAAAAAGTCTTTATACAGGTTTCTTTTTTTCTCCTTTCCGATGATTCATCGTTTCATAAATGGTATAACTCCATAAACAAAAAATGCAGGAAGCTTCTTTTGCCTCCTGAAAAAGTGTTACATTTCAGCTCCTTCTGTACATAATCAAAGAAAAATAAATGAACAGAAGCAAATTAGGATGTTCACTGTGCTCTAGCTTCCTGAAGCAAAACTAATTTCAGGTGACAGTGAAAAAAAAAACATGAAAATAAATCAAAGAAAGACTTATAAAAACACAAAGCCTTTTTTCTTTCAAAAATAAGTCCGAAAATAAGAATAGCCGCTGCCTTGCTGCTTCTCTCGCTTCCACATCACGAGTCCTTTGTTTAAATGTCTAATACACAATGGTCTTTGAGGTCTTTTTGACCAGTCAAGACGGCACTGACATTTTTCCAGCGGTTGTCTTTGGGGTTGTAGCCTGGGGTCCGGTGGGGCGCTTTGAGGGATGAGCTGGAGCTGTGCATGGTACAGATCACTTCCCCACTGGACTGCGATGCAGTCTTAGAGTACTTATAAACTGGCTGCTTCCCCGCCTCTGCTCCACCACACTCCTCTTCGAGTTCAAGCTCGCCTTCCGTCTCTTCCTCCTCCGCCTCCTCCCCCTCGCCACATGTCCGATAGGAGGGGCCCATGAGCTTTTTGCGCTCCTGCTCGGTGTCCCTGTTGTTTTCCTTCAGCGCCTGCTGCTGCTGCTGACGTCCAACAACGAGCCGAAGCGGCTGCCATTGGTTGTTCACGTTATCATCGGAGGCTGTGTTCCTCTCACGCTCTTTTCTCCGTTTGCGCGTCCACCAAACAGATACGATGATGCAGAAGAGGCAGAGCAAGCAGAAGATCCCACATAGAATAGGCACCAGGTAATCTGTTGACATGAGGATGTACAAGGGATGAGTACATAGAATAGAAATCAGTAGAAAGTAGTGATAAGACACTGATGAGAAACTAATGGGACCCACAACAAACCCCTGTGGGACACCTTTGTTAATTATTACTCACCCACTGAGGGGGGCATGACTGGTGTTTCCACTTTGACCTCAATGACAGCCAACATTACGGTGCTGTTGTGCCGCTTGGACAACGTGCCCACTATAGCGCTGGCTGCCTCCCGGATAAGACTGTGGTCTGGAAGATCCTCTGGATGGAAAGACTGGAAAACCAAACCAGAGAACATTTAAGAACTGAGGACCTCAAACACTCAATCAAAATGGGGTTGTTTTGATATAATTGTACAAAGTAAAGAGTATAGTGGACAGTGGGTCATGCCAAGAAAGGCATAACATAAGAACTTGGATCATTGACTTACTATAGCCACCTCTACAGCATCCTGATTCGACTGAGAGAGGTCACACAGCAGGAGAAGGAAGTGGTCCTTTGCCAAACCTCGGGTATCAGGAAGATACCTTAGCTCATGGCATATGTTCTCCACTGTTGTTCCCTGCAAGTTCACATAGATACTTTTAAGGAACAATACAAAAGACACTGCTCCTTTAAAATGTAGCTTCAACAAGAAAATATTTTACATGAAGACATGACTCACTGTTGGTACTTTGTCTTGTTGAAAATGAGTGTTATGCGGCCACAGCTGTTATCCAAATGCCCGGTGTTTGGCTGGCACTTGGTTGCTTTTGGAGGTGAGGCTCCTGCCATGGAGCAAACCCCCCACTGATGGCAAGGGGGGGAGAAGCAGGTGAGGTAGCTGTGCTCCAGACACTGGCGTCCAGCCGGGCAGGACTGATGTCTCTGGTCTGAGTCTGAAGTCTGGAGCCGGCAGGGGACGACGACCACACAGCACCTGGTCACACGCAATACATCTTCACATACATGTAACCACACACTTATAATGGTTTTCTGCATGTTGAGTTTTAATAACAGCCAACAAATGTTAGGCATGATCTAATTTAAAGATATTACACTGTGGACTGTATTATTGTTGAAGCCATTTTCTCAATAAATGTAATGATTAGTTTATCTTTGAATCTTTCAGAAAATAGTGAAAAAAAGTCCATCGCAATTAACAAGTTGTCAAAACAAAATATGTTCACTATCATTTAAGCCTTAGGCAAAGAATATCAGCAAAACCATTCAATATTTGTTATTTTGACTTAAACAAATGATGTATTGTGAGTTGAATTTTAAACTAATTGAGTTATTGTTTCGCCTTTTAACTCTTTTTTTCTCAGAGCATGATTGCTTGCTGTCGTTTGTGTTTGTAATTGAGATGTAGCAGATATTTGCTGGCGCTGTATTTTAGTAGGGATGTTATTTAAGTAGGGCTAGTTACCTTTGTACATTCCACTTTGCCATTGATGCAATGGCAGCTGTTGCAGTCCTCCTCCCAGTGACTGCCATGTGGAAACTGCAGCCCAGCATAGCGGCAAGTCTTCCCAATACCTATAACTACAGACAGACAGGGACATGTTCAACTTCTGTAGCAGTAATAAGCGCATATATTACAGATTAAGATCAAATTAGGTACAATGGGTACAAATGTTGACTCTATAAATCTTTTGATGGAGTGAATTATAACAGTAGATTGAAGATGTACGCTTACACTCTTGGCATCGGGCTCCTGTTCTACCGAGTGGACAGATGCAGCGGAAACCGTTGATCTCGTCCACACAGGAGGCACCGTAGGCACAGGGCGAAGACTGGCACTCGTTTATGTCTGTGAAGGTAAGAGGAGCATTACATTTAAGTTGAACACAAGGTAATGGATTCTAACATTTTAACTTATTTTAAAGACAAGTAAACACCCGGTCAAACCAGAAAGAGGAATGGCTAAATTTGTCTTTGCATGTCTATGAACTTGGCAACGTAGGAATTGTCTTATAGGGCTTGTAAATTATCTGCTGTAGCTAACTAGAAAACAGCTAACATGCTAGCATTAGTCATTTATGTGGCCTCTTTCTATATTACTGAGTCATACAAAATTGTCAAGTTACAGTTAGCTCGTTAGCTAAAGGGATTATAGGTTGACAAAATGTATGCAAACATATTTAAGCCACCACATCAACCACATTGACATTGTTTTCTGACGGAAGAGGTTAAAAATGGATGTTCCTCCATTTTTGATTTAGCCACCCGCTTTAAAAAGGTCAAAATGAACTTGCTAATAGTGAACTGGGCAAATTGATGTGCCAGCAAATCCACAATACACTGTTTTTTTAAAGGAAATGTACTGATTTTGTTGCATAACTTTGCATTTTAACCAAATAAACTACAATTCTGCATGCATGTTTAAGCCTCTTTCTAGCAATTATGTGAATCATCTCATGAACACTCATAACGGGTCAAGACCATGACGTTTCAGTTTGTGCAAATTAAATCACAAAGCCAAATATTTAGAACATACAGTAGTTTGTCTGAGACCGACAACATAAATGAGTAAATTGTGTATGTTGGACTATGAACACATCTGCTATATAAGAAGCTCTTTGAACGACACATATCAATTGTCCCTTCCCATAGAAATCACTGGGAACCGCTGCCATTGTCACCCAGATTCCACATGAACGCAGTCGGGATGAGGATTCTCAAATTCAAGCCTGACAGAAAAGGTGAACGCTATCCGGCCGAAACAAAGGAGCAGAGAAGAAGAATTTCAGGGTCACTGAGTAATTTGTCTTCCGTGTGTTTGTGTGACTGTGTGAGTATGGAGGAGGGACGGCCTCTGACCCCTGAGGCGTTAAAGGACCGAGAAAAAGGGAGAGGGCGGCGTCCTGGTCTTGCATTTAGGTGTCAATGTGTCCATCTCCTGCTGGTCCCCCCTTTTCCTTTCCTCTCTCCACCTATCCATCCTCCTAATCATACTATGGCTGTTAGGGTCTTGTGCACTATACGTCTGCTGTTTGCCCGTTGCAGTACAAATAAAGGAATTTGATTCAAACAGCATTGAAGTGTTGGGAAAATACTGAATGTTCTCTTCCAATATCAGAGGTGCACATGATAACACAGGCCCTACGTAGCTGTGTACGTAACAGGATGTCTGATTACCTAGAAGAGCATCAGGGCTGTTTGAGGCATATGATAGCTCAGCCCACTCTCTTCAATCTGCGTACAAATGACACGACTTTGCAAAGACGTGCAATAGATACGCAGAAGTCCGATTTTGCGTACTCCCACGTTACGTTTGTTATGAACGTATCTTAAATGCGTTTATTTTCTACATATCTTTGCCATTTATTTAACCCTAACCATAACCCAATAAGCTGCTGTGTCGTTTATTGCACCGCAAACATTAAAACTGTCATTGGAACGGCGATCAAGCCTGAAGCCACAGAGCTCTTTGTTTTAATGTTTGAGGTGCAATATCAGCGTATCATATGAACGCAAAATCGGACTTCTGCGTATCTATTACACGCCTTTGCAAAGTCGTGTCATTTGTACGCAGACTGCGAGACCGGGTTGGATAGCTATGTGATTAACGTGATGATTCAGCCTCTATGGAGAGAGACATATGACAAGCATGATCATTTCTGACGTGGAGCTAATCTGAAGTAAACATTGAATACTGCTTTCTATTCCTCCATCTTGTGACTAACTCCCTCTCTTGGATATCAGCATGTGAAGGACACTGTTCAGGAACTAGCTGATGCTCTGTATGTGATGACTACTTCCATTCTGGAGAGGATCACAAACACATGGATCCTGAGACTGAAGCTCAAGCCGGGGACGAGTGATATTTTTTCAACATGAAGTAACCTCATGTCTTCTTTACTCACTGATTCTGCAGTCTGGTCCGGCGAACCCAGGGGCGCACTCACACCGAAACCAGTTGACTCCGTCCACACAAATACCGCCATTGTAACTGAAGAGAGGAAAAGAAAAAAACGATTACTACAACAGTATTTTATTTAACTGTACAATATTTAAATGTGCATTCTGTTCTGTCACTTACAACATTCTCTGCATTATTTAGCTTATTATATTTATTTATTTTCTGACATGTATATAGTTTACTTCATCTGCATTACTTGCACATGCACTATTTTATTCTAGTCCACTCTGTTTCTTCTAACACTATTTTTACGTTTTATTGATTTATGTCTTATTATGTTGCATTGTTGGAGTAGCCTGGGACTTAAGATTTTCATTGTCATATCTACACTTTAGCTACTGTGCACGTGAAGAAAAAAGCCTTTGAATCTTTGAGTACAGGAGCCACATCCTTTCCAGCTGCAACAAAGCACATATTTTCTGTGTGTGTGATGGTGGAGATGGGGGGGGTCACAAGGCTCAATTCAACTCATCAATACAAGCCTCCACCTTTCAGATGCTAATTGGCGTGTCCAGCGACTCCCCTCCCTCCTCTCATCATGCTTCTCCTTCCATTCCTCCTCAAAGCCCGACTCCCCCCCAGGTCGAACGGGAAGAATGGACACGTACGCCCTCCCCCCAACACCCCCCCGCCACTCCACCCCCACCTGCATTCACCATGGGGTAGGTGGGACTGTTGTCCTCCTCCCTAAAAAAAAACCTCTCTCGCCACCTTTCTCTGTCCCATTGAATATCGAAGACCCCCCTCCTCTGAGAGATGCCCCTTTGAGGCTTGATTTAAAGACAACTTCCACTGCTGTTAGCGGCCCTTCACCCCTCCAGCCTGCAAGCTCTGTGTGAAGTGTGGAGATGAGGGAGAGAAAGGGGTGTGTAGGGTGGTGGGCGTTCATGATGTAGGAAACTGTACTCACCATGGATGAGGGTTGCAGTCGTTTATATCTGTTGAAGAGAACCACAAAGAGACACTTAGAGATAAGTTGTTACAGCACCATATTTGTGTAATTTTTCCATTGTCTTTATAACATTTTTGGATTATTATGGAAGATAAAACATCTACTATACAAGCATTTTTACTGCGTTGCTATTTGCAAGTCCTTAGATAATTATATTTAGCATGTTGCGCAAATAAAAATAACTGGGCATTTAGGCCTTAAAAAGGCATCATAAGTACATTTATAGCTGAAGTATGTCAGTTTCCTGCAAATCCACATAGAGAAAACTCACTCTGCTGGCCGCAGGGTGGGGCCTTCCCAGCCCTCTTTGCAGATGCAGGTGAAAGTGTCTCCTCCTCCGCACACAGGTCCCCACTGTTGGAGCAAGGACTGGGAGGCGCATGTGCTGTTTCTTGGCTGTGGGAAGAGAGGAGGCATTAGTCAAGGATCACATATCCAAAATACAGAAATAGTATACACGGTATGCTTGCACTTAAACTCAAATTAAGAGCATTTCAAATCTGGTCTGAATCCATAATATTGCAAAGAAACAATCCTGTCATTAAAATTAGGCTTGTAGGAGCAGCTGATAAACGGTATAGACATTACCTGGAGGAGCTGTATGTAGTGGTGCATGTGTGAAAGGGGGCTTGACATCAACTCATTCTAATATATGCTACAGTGACTACCAGTGGCCAGCACTCAATAACAAAATAAAAAGCTAAACTGTTACTGTGTTGTGTCCTTGAATATACTATCAGTACAAGTAGTTTAAGCAATCTATTAATATCTGATTTGAATAGGTTATGTAATAGAAGCAGTCCTCAGGCCTCACCTGTGTTGCAGGTGTTTCCTCCCCATCCAGGAGGGCAGGCACAGCGGAAAGCGTCTACGTGGTCGTAGCAGGTTCCTCCGTTACTGCAGGTGGTCGCGTCACACTGGCTCTCACCTGGTCAGGAACACAGAGAAACACTGAGGTCAGACACTTTGTATAACTATTCATAACATCAGTAAGAAAAGACACTTCTTATGCTTGTGTTGAGATACACTCATTACATTTAGTAAAGTACTGGTCTTAAGTACAACTTTGAAGAGCTAGTAGTTAAGCTGAACATTACGAATTCCATGCTACTCCACTACAATTCAGAAGAAAATAAATTCTACATTTATGTGTAACTTTACTCAATTTCACGATTCATATATATGGGGGCGTGTGGTGCAGTGGGTTGTGCGTAGGTGTTCGGATCAGGGGTCACAGGTTCAAACCCCACTGCAGTCAGCATGTCGTTGTGTCCCTGGGGCAAGACACTTCACCCCAAATTGCTCCTGTGCCACATTATTGAGTATGTAAGTCACTTTGGATAAAAGCGTCTAACAAGTGACATGTAATATAATATTCAGATTAGTGATAAAAGAATAGAATAACAAATAATAAAACCCAACAGTATATGTAGTAGAAATATTTATCTCCTCCATTAACAACATTTTAATGCATCAAAAAGTCTAATCTATATTATTCTGAAAAGGGGCCTTTGCGCAGGTACTAAGGTACTTTGCTCAAGTAAAACATTTAATGCAGGACTTTTACTTGAGTTACACCAGTTATTCCTACGCTGCGGTAATAATACTTTCAGTTAAACAAAGATCTGAGTGCTCTGTCCACCTCTGTTCTTGAGATCAAATGTACTCATAACATACAAAGATGTGTAAGCATGGTGGCGTCTGTGCCTCAAAAGCCTACAGAACATAAACACACACATTAACACAGACTCGACATAACTCACGGGAATGGCAGGTCTTGCCCTTCCAGTTGTCGGCACACTCGCAGTAGAAGTCGTTCACCAGATCCACGCAGCGCCCGCCGTTCTTACACGGGTTGTGTCTGCACTCGTTGACATCTGGAGGAAGGAGGAAGGAATACATGATAATAAAAAAGCTTTATTTATATAGCTTTTCATACAACACATGCAGCTCAAAGTGCTTTACAAAATGACAAGTTAAAAATGAACAACAAGAAATTCCACTCAGATTATTTGTTAAGAACTTTAAGGTACATGCAGCAAAATATAACACGTTATCAGGTTAATAGAGAGGAGGTAAAATGTATGATAATACAAATAAAATAAATAACTGTCTCTCTGACAGATAGACAACTGATCGATGCAACAATATAAAACCCCATAAAACAAAATGAACATATAGGTACAACAGAAATACAAAAATAATAGTAATACAAATACCATTATTTTAATAAAGGTTTAAACGATTAGAAATAAAAAAGACCAACGTAAAAATAAATATTGCTATTGAAGCATGTTAGATTAATAAAATAAGATAACATCCTTTAAGAAAAAATATATATAAAGGTAGGTAAATAATAAAGACTAAAAGAACATTTAAAGTGGGGGGTTGCTATAAAAAGCTAATCTAAAAGACATGTCTTTAGCTGGTGATGATGAGACCTTTACCAAACTTGTCTTCCATTTAGAGGCAAATGAATACACAGAAGCTCTTCTGTAAACTATCTAAAATGCTGCGTGGTTGAAGGTAGCTGCAGTGAGTTATGTTGGCAGGCGATGAACTCACTGAGGTCACAGAGTCGACCCTCCCAACCATCGGGACAGACGCACTGAAACGAGTTCACTCCATCAATGCAGGTCCCTCCGTTCCCACAGGGGTTGCTGGTGCAGTCGTTGATATCTAAAAAGAGTCGAGGGGGAAGTTAGATGGATTCAACACTTTTGAAGTAGTAACATTCAGACCTAGATTACTAGTAACACTTTCAAACCCTCCCCGTTTAGAATTTATAACTGGTTCATAAACACGTCATAAATGTTTATTAAAGCTTATGCATCATGCCGTTTTTATTGGTTCACAATAGCTGTAAATCCTTATGGTATGGACAAAGCTTTGATATATTGTGTTCACATTTAAAATGATTTCAACACTTTAAAATACTTATTTCTGCTCATACCATTATTTAACATACATTTGAGTGTTTGACATTATACTTTGTTAGAAACTACCTATTGTTAATTTTCAATGATGAAGTTAAAAACATGTTACAGTCCCATCTTCATTTTTCAAATTTAAGTTGACACATTTTGTTTGTTAACCCTTATGTTATGTTCGGCTCTCCCGTGACCCGTTTCAAGTTAAAATTATATAATAACTACGCTCTAGTTTTTTTTATCGGAACAAGGCTTCATGATATCCTCCACAACAGCTAAATACTACAAAACAGATTGACCATTTTAGCCAAGTCTGAAGGTCTCTTAAAAAAGTGTATAATTTGGTGTTGGTGTCTGGGGAGACCTGGCAGAATTGTTGTGGGTGACTCAGGGTCAAATTTGGCCCAATCAAGATTCATCTTTGACTTTAGACACCCCTCCCCCTCCACCTTCATCCACTGTAACAAAAATCTTATTTTGGGGAGATTGTATTCTAATATTAGTCTACTATAGTCAGATAATGTAATGATCCACTGTCTTCACTATAGGAAATATAATGAGTGAATTGAATCACATGTTTAACTTAAATATGTGGTGTAATGTTTTTTGGATCGTACGGTTATGAATGTATAATAAGTTAGTTATGATGTAGTTAAAACAATATTGGATGAGTAATCATTATTTTTGAGTGTTTGGACTGAGATAAATCATGGGTCAAAATGTACCCGCGAACACCATGAACAGTAACAGCTTTTTGAACACAACACAAGGGTTAATAATTTAAGAAAATCTTTGCAGGAAGAACTACATGTTTAGTTTCAGTTGTAGGCATGATAGTATACAAAAGAGGTCGAAATCTCAATGCAAGAGTCTCTACGTACTCTCATGGCAGTAGATGCCGCTGAAGCCCGGGTCACAGAAGCAGGAGAAGTTTCCGGCGGGCTGGCTGATGCATCGTCCTCGTCGGCCCGCAGGACGTTTGAGGAGATGTGACGCACTCCGGCTGAGTCGTTTGTCGCCACAGCACAGTGCAGCTGTCAATCAACTGAGGATAAAAAGAAAAACAGTTAAAATTGCATAACTTTTCTATTGAGTAGTTTGTTACAGTCCGGGTATATCTATTGCAGACAGTTCAGTCACCTTGACACAGGGCCGTGTGGCAGTTCTCCTTCAGACGCTCACAGTGTTTTACCCTCGAAGCCTTCGGGGCAGGCGCAGTAGAAGTCCTGCTGCCATGCTGTGCACTGGCCTCGTTCTCACAGGGGTTTCGGATCACACGCATCTGAGGGGGTCCAGCCAGAGATCTGAGGAAACCAAGACGAGAGAAAGATTACTTTACAATAAGGGGGACACAAAGAAACAGACATTTCTTTAAAACTGCACAAACAAATATTTATATGACCTCTTTATTAAATGCCCTGTAGGTTCATCATCATGAGTGACACCGATTACCTAGTATTTAAGTGTATTTTGATTTTGGTTAGAAGGCAGACAAAGTGAGAAAGTAACTGCCTCTTTATCTGTTTATTACTTTCACGAGTTGGTGGAGACATAAACAGAACCAAAACGAGTGTAAATATTGAGACTCAGATTCACCAGGTGCTCAGAAACACAACTCCAAATGACGCTAATGTTAATCCACGTCTAATGGGTGTGAATTATCATATTTGTTCACCATAACATATCAATGTTGTGTCAAAACGTGTCAATAATCAATACATCTAGGCTTGATTTAGTATGATTAGGAAAGTAAGCCTTCCATTTTATATTTATTTCTATAAGAAAGTAGATCCAACCAATTGGACTATTAAACAGTTGAACTCCATCACTTCATTTCCAATTAGCAGTTCCACTAGATTAGTACGTTAACTTGCCAAAGGCCACTCACTGAAATGGTTCTTAACTAATTATTAAAACAAGTGAAGATGCAAGTAAAGCCAAATGAGCAGATGTTAAGTCTGTGCAGGTGACGGCTTAGCTTGGCTCGCGCCTCCGCCGCAGTTCAGAACAAATGGAAATTAAGTGGACGAGCAGAGTAAGCCTCAGAAACTGTCCCCAAGCTCATCAAGGGAATCTACGCTTTTGGTTTTACATCTGTGTGCCCCGCTAAATCTTGCAGGATTACTCTGAGACCTAAGCATGACAGAACAGAGAGAGCATGCATGAGAAAAAACAGCCCATTATGAGCGCAAATATTGACTCTGGTCCAACATGGTGCAGAGCCACAATGAAGATAAATCATCCGTCATACCACCGTGACACAGAAACTAGAGGCGGCAGTGACATATTTTCCCATTTCTACCTGCAGCAATACAGAGGTTGGAGTAAAAATCTCCCAGTTTATGTAAACAGAAGCCTACTGTGCATAAACTCTGTGTTGCACCCCTTCCCATTTAAGGCGCTGAACGTAGAGTTAGAGTAGGGTGAGGTCTGCGGTCACACACAGTTTATTTTACCTTAAGTGTTTTCGGGCCAGATACATTTTTTTCTTTGACTATTTGCCTGTGTGTGGTCAGGGGAGCGTGTCTGAGGGCAAGAGCATCTATAAATCTTCAGCACATTAACGCGACTGTTTGGACTATTCACAGCACAAGGGAGATTTCTCATTGCGGCAGACAGATCGAGGCTTTATTTATAGCAGAAAGCCACCAGGCAACGTCATATGAATTACTTGAGGTCAACTTAAACACATTCTGCAATAAAAAACAGACTTTTGATGGTCGATAGCAACATTAAATTGGCCTTACTCTTCTTTTACAAAGCAAATGGTCCTGGATATTTGAAACAAAACGTGTAAATCCATAAGGAAATAACTAGAATACTGCTTATTTAAGAAAGCAAATGCATGTTGGAGCAACTTTATCAAATGAGGTCCTTTTTTAACCTTTAAAAAAAAAAGAAGCAGTTCACATATCATTGTGAGGTCCATATAGTAATTCACCTGGAGCTCTTGATCACATCTCATCATTTTTAAAAGCATGGGTAATTCAATTTGTCATATCTATTTTTTTCCCTCAGCAGTTTTTAATACTTTCTGACAATTTCATGGACACTAATTGCAGTTAAAGATCATGTGATTTAATCGAAACCTCTAGAAATCATAGACAGTTCAGAAATAAAGCCGCTGGGTGGTTATTCCTACCCCTTAAAGGGGCCCTATTATGCTCATTTCATGTTTGTATTTTGTGTAAACAAGTGTGTGGGAGAGACATTCCCACTGGAGTTTTAACCTTTGCAGACCATTTACATGCACACAAATATATATACAACACATTACAGGAAAGGAGAACCCCCGAAAAAACATAATAGGGCCCCTTTAACCCTCCTATTGTCTTCGTGTTCCCCCCCTTACTTTGGTGTTCGGTCAAATTTGACTGGTACTGTTTTAACTGCTATTACATTAACACAAAAACCATTAATCACCAAATTTCATTTAACACCCTTTCAAACTGTAAATATTGTATCGGACTACTGGTACACATGAACATCTGCAGTACATATACAAAGAATAGACACTGAACATGTATTGTGTGTGCCAGGTGTGATCCATGTGGGGGGATGGGCACATAAGAGCGGGAAATGTGTCAAATTGTTCTGTGTGTGTGTGCCAGGTGTGATTCACATGGGGGGATTGGGCACATAAGGGGGGGGGGGGGGACACACACATCTAGAGTATGTGTGTTTTATCTGATCCGGATGGTTACTAATTCCTTTTCTTTATGGCGGTCATTTTTGACCGGGAACACCATGGGTTTTACAAAGTTGACTAAATCATCCAAAATTCAATGAAAGTGGTGATCAGCATTATCATATGTTCAAATGTCTACTGTGAAGGATATCATAAAGCCTTAATGCAATCGAATGTAAAACAAAAAAGTTATGATTGATGAAAGTAGTAAATCGGTCAGATTTGACCCGAAGACAACAGGAGGGTTAAACCTATACAATAAAGATAAAATGCATTACAAAGGATGTCACTTTCTTTGCAATGATGCTAACATTTTCTCATTTGCAGAACAGGACGAAAAAGATACCAGTAGGCATTATTCATAAATCAAAGTATTATAGTTTTGATCCAACTAGGTGAACTTGAATGTTTGTACCAAAGTAGAGTTTTTTTTTAAACAAAATGACTTCATAATTTCAATTTGTTGGTGGCGCAAAAAGAAAACACCAGGGCCAAAATCATTAGGATACATCATTTAGGGTTCATTACTATTGTGATATGCGAGTCTAAACCTCCATTAAGGAGGCTGTTTTTAACATTATTCAGACTCAGCTCTCTGAACTAAAGCTTCTTTTAAAATGTTGATAAAACCAAGGTAATGCTCTTTTCAAAAGCTAAAAAGACACCAGAGGCTGTTTTGGATATTGTAACTACGCAAGGAATAATACTTGAAGTGGTTGCCTGTTATAAATACCTTGGTATCAGGCTTGATGATTGTCTCACTTTTAAACTTCAGGTCAATAATCTGCTTAAAAAGCTGAGGGTTAGGCTAGGTTTCTTTTTCAGAAACAAGTCCTGTTTCTCTTTTGAGGCCAGGAAAAGGCTAGTCACTGTGACCTTTTTACCTGTGCTGGACTATGGTGATCTGATCTATATGAATGCACCTGCCTATTGCCTGAACAAGTTAGATGCCGCCTATCACAGCGCACTGAGATTTGTCACTAATTGTAAAGCACTTACTCATCACTGTACCCTGTATGCCAAGGCAGGTCTGCCATCACTTACTGTAAAGAGGCTCAGTCATTGGTACACGTTTATTTATAAAGCTTTGTTGGGTAAACTCCCGTATTATATCTGCTCTCTGATAACACAGAGAGTTGCAAGCAGCTATCGTCTGAGATCGCATGATGTAGTATTGTTAGATGTGCCAAGAGCAAGGACTGTCTTAGGTAAGACAGCTTTTATGTGCGCAGCTCCACTTGCTTAGAACAATTTACAGCAAGAATTGAAACTGAGCAATCTCATTCCTCTGCATGTTTTTAAAGCTAGTCTAAATGAAATGCTTTTTGATACCATGGGCACTTGTAAATGTCGATAACTATGTACTATGTAAATATAATGTATGATGTCCTTTATTGTTTTATGTTTGTTTCGTGTGGAACCTATTTGCTGCAGGTCTCCCTTGAGAAAGAGATATATGATCTCAAGGGACCAATCTGGTTAAATAAAGGTTTGAAATGAAATGAAAAAAAAGGTTATTGAGCCACCAATGCTGCCATCCATAGAGCCACAATGACCAAATAATTACACTTTTTCGGGTAAACAAAGGAATACATTCATAATCTGACTTTACATGATCAATACAGTCATATCACCTACAGTACTAAGAGAATAAGACACCGTTTACACGAGAACAAAACGGGTTGGATCCTAATAGTTTCTCTTGCGTATAGCCCTTTCATTTACACGAGGCCGTAACAAAACGATAGAAACGGACCCCACAAACGATAACGGGTCCCAAGGTGGATAGATTTGCAAACGAAATGCTCTGGGGGGGAAAACGGCTCCGTGTAATCGCCTCTATACGATCATTTCCTGAAAAAAATAACGATAACGACGCTGCTTTTGGTGTCGGAAGTTACAGCGCCAGTTACAGGCCCGGCATATGTACTACAGCGTGTCCAGCGTTCTCGTGTGAACAGACACGTCAAATGAAACGAATATGTGTGAACGGAAGACTTTTTTGAAAACGCATACTGTGCATAAACGCAAACGTTCCCGTGTGAGCAGCACCTAAGGGTTCTCTTTCCTGGAACTCCTCGTCTCTTCTAAAGAAATGAGTCAAGATTAGGAACGGGCAAAAACACAATCAAACTGTTCTGGACTTGAAAGGGGAAACTAAATCAGAGCAACACGGCGCAGGAGGCGTTTGTAGTTTTGGCACTGCAGGGCAGGAATGTACGCCGTGCCATAGCAGGCATCAGAGCTCTATAGTATGCAGGCAGAAATCCAGCGGCGCCTCATTCAGAGAGGCTCATATTTATAGTAGAGATGCTAAAACAGGATTGGCTCCTGACCAGCAATGTCCTCCATTCAGGGCCCAGGAGATGCAGTGGAGTGTCAGTTTCCTCCCTGCTAACCTACATTAGCTTCCAACACACACTTCCATTATAGAAAGGCTGCAGCAAGGACACCGATATGTCGTGTCTGCATGAAACTTAATGATCAATCACTACAGAAGCTTGCAGTGAAACCTTGGCTTAGTTTATTTGGCTGGAAACATTACACAACTTTTTGTGTTGGTAGTTGGATTACATAACTGTGCTGTAATGAATACTGCAGATTGAGTATTTGCACAGCACCACAAGCCACTTAACGTGTTTTCTAAATCAAAATAGCCGTCAAGTATGTATTAGTATTATATTCTTTTTACCATATCATCTTGGCTTGGATAATTTCCTTGGCATGTTTTGCCACATTCTGACTTTTGCCTATTGCATCCAAAGGGTATGAAAAAGGTTGTTGCTGAGCAGTTCACAGAAAACAGAAATCCCAAGGGCGAATCCTCGACTTAAGATATTGTTAAACAACAAACGCCATTTTGTCGACTACTTCATTTAATCAACAGATCTGTCAAACTGAATGTCTCCACAAAGAAGTCAACTTTAAATCTTGTGTTTACCAGAGATGTGTATGGAAATAAGTCGTTCAGCATGAAAAATAGCATTTCAAATCAACTAAAGAAAACCTAGTCGACTCAGAAGTAGACTAATCGATTAAGAGTGTGCAGCTCTAGACCTCCCACCAGTATTGACCTGTATGCAATTTAGTTTGGATTGTAGACTTTTATCACAAAAATACTTTCCTCTCCAGACATGTAAAGTGTCACTAATGAAGTCCTAAGGCTGTTCAAAACAAAGGCTAACACCAGTGTATAATCCGTCACTGTATCCTCAATGATCCAATGTGACCTGTGTAACACGAGACCCACCTCACACAGCTGTCCAGCAAACTGCGGTGGGCACTGACACACGAAGTCGTCCAGCACGGCGTGGCACTGTCCTCCGTTCTGACACGGTCTGCTCTCACACTTGTTCCTCTGGATTTCACAGTGAGTGCCTACAAAGCCTGGAGGACACTGGCAGTGGTAACTCCTCTGGTGCTCCTACAGAAAACACAAAGAGATGAGTTAAAGGTCCCCTATTATACTGTTTTTCATCAATATATTATAGCTCTCAGATATATACAGAACATGTCTCTGAAGCGTTTGGCTCCAAACACCAAACAGATCATTGCAGCATTACCCATAATCCCCTCTGTTTCAGCCCTGTTTCCAAAGTGCTGATTCTTAGTCTGTTACTTTAGATGAAAATAAGGAGCCCCTCCCCACGCCCCTCTGAGAGAGATTTGGTTACAAAGAACACAATGGAGCTCTAGGAGGAGATTCAGGTGATAAGGTGTGGGGGGGGGGGGGGGGTTACCTTGGTTGGTGATTGGCTAATGGTGACACAAGCCAAAAAATCGTTATGATATCACAAAGTGGCCAAAATCTGATCGGCTAATTTTCAGACAGGTTTTTATAGAAATGGATCAGGACAAAAAGAGAGAATCTTTTTTCCTGAAACTTTCAGAGTCTCTTTACACAGAGGGGACACATGTTGATGTAGAAGAGGGGACACATGTTGATGTAGAAGAGACATGAAGAAGAGGGGACACATGTTGATGTAGAAGAGACATGAAGAAGAGGGGACACATGTTGATGTAGAAGAGACATGAAGAAGAGGGGACACATGTTGATGTAGAAGAGACGTGAAGAAGAGGGGACACATGTTGATGTAGAAGAGACATGGAGAAGAGGGGACACATGTTGATGTAGAAGAGACATGGAGAAGAGGGGACACATGTTGATGTAGAAGAGACACGGAGAAGAGGGGACACATGTTGATGTAGAAGAGACGTGAAGAAGAGGGGACACATGTTGATGTAGAAGAGACGTGAAGAAGAGGGGACACATGTTGATGTAGAAGAGACGTGAAGAAGAGGGGACACATGTTGATGTAGAAGAGACGTGAAGAAGAGGGGGACACATGTTGATGTAGAAGAGACATGAAGAAGAGGGGACACATGTTGATGTAGAAGAGACGTGAAGAAGAGGGGACACATGTTGATGTAGAAGAGACGTGAAGAAGAGGGGACACATGTTGATGTAGAAGAGACATGTGGATTTTGCACAATAGGTGACCTTTAAAGATGCAACGACAAACACAAGGTTGAGGAGCGGAGGTGGAATATACATTTAATTAAAAAACATCCATACCTTGCATGTTGCTCCGTTCTGGCACTGATCATGGCAGCCGTTGATGTCTGAACAGGAGGCAAAAGTTACATTTCATTATAAAACATTATGAATAACATGTTTTATTAACTTTTCCACCAACCTACAATGTGGGATGTGCACGGATTATCAGAATTTGAAAAAGAAATCACTAGTGAAGCCAAGAGAGTGCCAAAAAGACCTTGTATAGGTTGTAACTGGGCATGCATTGGATTCAGAAAGAGGGACTGGTCATGCATATTCGAATATGATTGGTTTGCCAAGACGGGAAAGCAAACGGGTTACCACATGTGGGAAAGGGAGTGACGCTAAGCTACACCTATGTTGTGAGTCCAGGAAGTGAGAGGTAGCCAGAAGAGGAGGACGCCAGTGGAAGGGCAGACATTTAAGAAGTGACTTTTAGACGAGGTAAATACTGACTGATGTCACAGTTTTGTCCGGACCATCCCCGAAAACAGTCGCAGTGATAGCCGCCAATCAAATTTTTGCAATAAGCGTTCACGCAGGGCTTTCCTGCACACTCATTTGCATCTGTGAAGGCAGGAAGTAAAGGGAGACCGAGTCCATCAATTGAAAACAAACCAAAGGAGAGGTCAACGAGAAAGAAAAGAGACCAGAAACCCAACCTTAGAAACCCTGACGGTGTCATCAAGGTTATTTGGTTAGTTAGGTCGGCTGGGAGACTGAAATATTCAACAGAAAGCTTTGTGTGGCAGAAGAGACATTTTGTATACAGCGAAATGTAGGACCCTGTGTTGTTTAGCCTTTATTTGGGAGTAAATAATGAAACCTTTACAAAAATAAATACAATTTAAATAAAGTAATAAAACACAATAATTTGGAAACAATTACAATAATAAAATAGTTATAGTCCCACAATATATACATCTATGAATTTGTTTGCGGGTTTTATTGATAAATCGATAAAATGCCAAAATGGGACCCTCTCATGTCCTTAGAGTCGGTGGTGACCGTACAAGTCTGAATACTCAGATATATCATTTGCAACACCCAGAAACACACAGAAGTAGCACCTTTTAAAATATCTAAGTAGCTGAACACAGAATTTCTTGCAGCTTTGGGAAAAAAGTCAAAGCTTCCTAAGGCATTAAAATAGAAGTAACGCGTGACGTGGTGTTGGACGTTTGTATGTGTTATACCCCTCGTTTTCACTCCACAGTAATTGCTGCCTTTGTTTAATGTGAGCTTACCCCACAATAAGAACAAATAGAATTCTGTCTACAAATAAATCTATTAATTTGACCTATTAATTGAATTTGAATGAAACGTGTCCCGTTATGGAAGCAGTCACATTAGACTGAAACTGAATTTAATTGGACCCAATCAGTTTGGATTCCCAGACCTCCCGCAGTAAAGCTTCAAAGTCACAACAGCTGACGCATTCATTTTTCATTTGTTCGAAATGAATATAATGAGAGAAAAGTCTTCAGTTTCCCTCAAAACCTTCAAAGACATCAAAAGTGTTACAACAAAGAAAAGCAACGCTGCTCAAATATTCACAGGAATGGAGGGGGTTGGGGGGGGCAATCTGCAGGGAGTCCTGCTGTGCTCCCTCACACACACCTGTCCTCTCTCTGAAACCCTAAACTCTATATACACACACACAAACACACACACAATCGCCAGGTAAGACAGGAGGCCAATGGCCGCCTGTAAGCTGAGATCTGAGCTGGTAAGATGACACTGAACTCTTGGGATCTCTTTCCTACCTTCCGACATACACTCACCCCAACTTGTTTACCAGTCGTAATCCATTTCCTGGCTTCACGCCGGTCACGTCCGCTTTCAGAGACAGGAGCGCAGTGTTTCCCCTATATACAAATAGTGTAGGCGCAGCGCCGCCGCTGAAATATGTGCACCGCTGCTAGGGGGCGCCAGCCGGGTACCCAAAAAAATTAATATATTTTTGTTTTACTTTTAATTTTTTTATTAAAATAATAAGTGGCGACCCTTTTTAATTTTTGATTGTTTGTTATGTGGATTTGTAGTATTTGTGTTACTGTATGTTCAATAAAGGTGTATTTTTGCTAAATCTTGAGGCATTGCCACTGTATGTACTGGCAGGGCCGATTTTTGGCGTAGGCGACACAAGCGGTCGCCTAGGGTGCCAGATCTGGGGGACGCTGCGCTGGTAGCTCTGGGAGGGGAAAAAACATTTTTGGCCGTTGGCGCTCATCCTAATTTTTGGCCTTGATGTAACAACATTCATCATTAAGTAAATGTAACACCCTTTTCACCCCAGCTACACTTTTCATTTGCCCTGTACGATGGGCGCTGTAAGTGATGAAAGTGCGGGATGTTGGCTTATCAGGCGCCCGCAGCTCACAGCCAAAGTGCGAGCGTGGGGACGTGGGAGCGAGAGAGCGAGCGAGGGAGAGAGAGAGGGCGCACCGGTACCGGCGCTGTTGTTATTAGAATCTGGTGCTAGCTGCGCTAACAGATATAAGAAGTAGATGTTTCTACAACCAGGGTGGAGGAGAGCTCTCCTGTCAGACTGAGAGGCTCAGTGAGGTAAAGGACTCTGAGTGTTTAGATAAGTTAATTTTAGTCTAAGTTATCTCAGTGGGTCTCAAACGGTTTGACCACAAATTATGTAAACACATATTTCCAAGGCACTCCTTTATAATTATTAGGATAAATACAAACCGGTTTGAAATCATTCCAATGTATACTATAGGACAGTAATCCAAAAATATCGTTTAAAGTTGGAGAGATACAATAATATGCATAAATAAATCAATGTTAACTAGGTAAAATAAGATATGAATGAACAACAAAAATAAAATAAGTTAAAAAATATATTTTGTATTGGCTATGGTAGGTGATTGGTTATGTTCACATACTTGTTTGATTATTAGAATGTAAACCGATCTTTTTCATATGGGTGTTTTCGAGTTGTACCCCCTAGATCTAGTCTCTAGTAATTGTGTGCTCAAAGTGCACCAGATTGAAGCATCCCGGACCCCCCTAGAGGATGTGACGTCCACCCCCCAATTCAAACGTGTTCATACAATAATGAATACATTTGAATCCATTTTGACGTATATTACCTATGTCAATAAGTTTCTGTTTTTGTAGTGTATTTGTCTTTTGTAGAGATTTTTCATTTATTCTTTATAAAATCTCACGAGGGCAGCAAATTGTCTAGAACCGGCCCTGGTACTAGGCCTCAAGAGCCTTTCTTGTGCTGGCAGACACATAGAAACAAATTGGCGGGGGCACTTCGCACGTGCACACACTAAACAATTCCACGCGCTCCACGCTCACATTATGCTGGGCCCACGTGCCTTAGCACCACTGCTATGACTCCATCCTAGGGGAAACACTGAGGAGCGATATAAAAAACCGATGCCACCAGCAGCAGCAAACAGCCGGATATAGACACACTAGTAGCTCATAAAGTCATTGAGAAAAAAGAGCTGTGCAGCTGCCCAGGATATCAACAGCGTGCAGCGAGGCTCAGGTTGCCAATTTTTATTCTAAAACATATATCCTGAGCTCTGTGCCGAAGTCTCAGAGGCCATTTCATTTGTTTTACGGCACAAACAGGAAAGAAACGGCTACAAAAACACGTCTCCCTGTAGAAATAAAGAGTTTGTTTGCCAAAAAAGCTAAAACACAGGAAATCTTATACTTCTTTTTTTTGTGTGCTTCTCACCAGAGGCTGTTTGAGATACTGTGTGAAAGCATGAATCTCACCTATCTGGCAGGTCTTTCCCTCCCACTGTGGAGGGCACACACACTCAAAGCCGTCCTCCAGGTCGACACAGGTTCCTCCCTGAGCACATGGACTGGACGCACACTCGTCCAAATCTGAGAAGAAAACACTCTTAAACTACATGCAACATTCAAACAAAGTGTTGGAGTTGAGTTAGACTTTAGGCACGTTTAAGAACATAGTGAAAAAGGACATGGAGAGGTGAAGAGGGTTGTGTTAAGAGAGCCTTGATATATTGAGAAGTTAACCTTCAGTTAGTAGGAGTGAGTGTTTGGAAAACAAGTTACAGACGTGTCTGGGAGTAAAAGATGTAACTGCAAGGATCAGCATTCAAAAAAAGATCATTTAAATGTACACCAGTTACTCACTGTTGGCACAGGTCAGACCCTCCCAGCCTGGTGGACAGCGGCACTCGAACCCTGAAGGAACCTCGTGGCATGAACCGCCGTTAGCGCAAGGATTGGAAACACAGGCGTGCTCAGCTGGAGGGTTTAAAACAGAACAACAAAATTAACATTTCCTTAAAGATTCAGAGATTTAAGGCATTTTCTTCACTTATTCCCAGTACATATTAGAAATATTGCATATAGCATGTTCCACTAGTATCTATATATGAGTGCTTAAGTAATTGATGGGGTTGTAACTATGGATTGTTTTCATTCTTGATTATTCATCATTAAAATAAACAGCACGAGTCCAGAGCACAAGATGACGTCTTAAAATTGCTTGTTTTATTTAACTAACAATCCACAACCCTATATGGCAAAAAATGCAGCAAATATTCACATTTGAGAAGCACTGTTTTGGATGTTCTTGCTGTAGGAATCGCCTAATAAAAAGGACTTCCTTATCGTACTGAGCTTGTACCACAAAGGGAACAAAGCGGAAAGATGAAATGTTGTACATGACAGAAGAACGAGCCTGATTGAACAAAAACAAAAGTGTGTGAATGTCCTTTTTCAAAGACAGCAGTAGCGTGGTTTCTCTCTCACCGATCTGACAGGTCTTGCCGGAGTATCCTTGAGGACAGGAGCAGTGGAACTCGTCTGGTTCTGTGTTCATGCAGGTTCCTCCGTTCACACAAGGGTGGTGCCGACCGCAGTAATTCAGATCTGGAGGAAGACGCACACGGACAGATTTGAGCATTTCTGAAGTGCAAAAAGATTATTCTGCAGGAAGGACTGACTGATGTTTCCTGGCACTGAAAACTGAGCCTTGTTACCATGCTGTACCAAGAGCAAATTCTACAGTCTCTGGTTGAGTAATGATAATTCATTTAAAGGTGGGGTAGGACATTTTGTAGAAACCAGCTCGAGTGCGCTTGAATTTGAAAATACACAGCCGGAAAAAAATCTGCCACTTCCTTACAGAGCCCCTCCTCCAACACACACGAACGCACACATGACCAATGAGGGTACAAGATAAGTTTGTGCACAGATGGAAGGCTGACAGGCAGGTAGGCCATCCAGTTACTTTAGCCGGGCCGGCTCAGATGATTGGTCGTGCTTTTTACAGCGCCACGGCTTCCACAGATGACTTTTTTTAATGTATTTTTTGTCAAAGCACTGAAGATATTCATTGCTATCGGGATGTTAAGAGCATTCCATGGAATATAACAAAAAGTGTCTCTCGAGCCGGTTTCTCAAACTTACCTACCCCACCTTTAATCTGAAGATTTACTTTAGTCAAAATTTGTCAAGTTTTTTAATGTGTATTTTTTGGGGGGGGATGACATAGACGTCATAAATCTCATTCAAATATTTAAATGTTAAAAATAAGGGATTGTATACACCCCCCCATATACATTTTGTTCCACGTTTTTATTTGAGGAGTGTTATAGCCTCCTCATGACTCCACACCTTCTGTGTTAATTGGATCGACCCCGTGAGATCACTCTTTGTCCGTTTCACCATCCTATCGGAGTTCCCAGAAAGCTCGTCGGGATCTTCACTCGGTTCAGACCACCAGCTGTCAGCTCTGACAGGAAGCTCCGAGTGTTTTCACACATACTCTGCTGCACTGCATCATGATTGAGCCTTTACAGTATTTACAGATTACAAAGCCTCCTAGATGTACCTTTATGGTTATTTTTTACATGTGCAGAAGAAACTCAACAAGCCCCCCCATCTGATCCCTGCCTCAAGGTCTAAAGCTGGTGAATAAGAGCAGGATCTGTCTCCACCGGGGATCTTAGGACCATTCTCATCCCCCGAAGAACCCTCAGTGACGAAGGCATTCGGGGATCGAGTGTCCGTGCTGCTGCTCGGATCACACGGCAGTAAAACTATCCAGCTGAGAGAGAATTCAGACCTCATATGTAGGTATATTAAGGTACCTTTAAATGCAGTTTTTTAAAGTTTGGTCCATTCACGACTCTTAATATACAGAACAAAATATCACCATCATTACATCGCCCTCTTGATGGGACCACATCATACTTTGTGATATGATTGGCATTAACAATATTACGTTTTGTTATTGATTTCATATTTTTCTATTACAGTGACATTTATTTTCTCTCCATTTGTTGGCCCAACAAAAACAAAAAAGGGCTTTTAGTATAATTCCTTTTATTAAATCTGCCAAAAAGTGTTTGTAACTGAAACATTGTTCGATTTATAAGATGTCAAAACTGTGTCTGAAGAGACATTTAGAAGCCCAAAAATAAAGAAAATCTGTTTATTATTTCATAAAACAAAGAATCGTCATCAATGTAAACCTGCAACTAGGAACATTTGAGATAATACTAGCAATAAATCAAGATATCAATATAGTTGCCAAATATTATAATCAGGTAATTATGTATAAGATTAATCGACTGATCGTTTCAGCTCTAATAATAGTTTAAAATAACTTTCCATTTGACGGGAAGCTCAGGTTAAATGTTGGAAAATGTTAACAAATATGCCTTCACTGTACTTTAAAGAGCCAGAAAAGACATTTCAATTCCAGCTGCAAATGACTGAGCAGCATTATTTTTGCAGTTTTCTACATGGTCATATGTGGCTCCTTCAAAAGTATTTTTCTGTTGCACCTCTGCTCCGAGTAGCTCGCTCGTGTCTTACTCATCACACCCAGGCAGCTGTAGCTGGAGAGGACGTGCAGGACGAGAGCTGTGTGTGGGAGGCGATTAAAGAAAAGAAAACATGGACTTTTCCATACCTTTATCGCACAGCCGGCCGCCCCAGTTCCTCTCACAGCTGCACTGCCACGGGACGTTGCAGGTCCCGTGAACGCACCCCCGGGAAACAGCAAACATTCATCACAGAACTGCCCCTGCCAGCCGTAGTTACACCTGTCAAACACACACGCATAAATCAATCCACTCATCTAATCCCATTACCTGCTCTGAGGAATCCCTTCTTTCATTGGCTGTTGAAAGACGTTTATTTTTCAAAACAGTGTTGGTATTATAAATGTGATGATATTTCCCAAAGTGTTGAAAGGTCCCTATTGAACAAGCTTTAAATGAGACACAGCTTTTCAACTGTAGGATATACTCAAATGCATCTGATACCAATCTTAGGTAAAGATATAGCACTTCAAAAAGATGACAAATACATATATAAATGGTTATTTTATATTCATATCTTTTTATATGTTGTACTTGGGGGAAACAAAAATCAAGTTGTTCTGTATGTTGTGGACATTTCCCACTTCTTGTGTGGATATATCCAAAAGAAAGTCAATGAAACCTGATGAACACACAATGTGTTACTCACTTAACATTAAGGATAAGCAGACCATCCTGACTTGTCAAAAAAGTTCTTTAAGACAAGTGACAGGCTGCCCCAAAAAGCCAAGTGTCCTCTAAACCAAAGCCATCACTGAAGTTGTTTATGCATGATTACATCATCATTACAAAGTCTGTAGGAAGAGGCTGATTCAGGACTCAAAGCACTGAGCAGCTAAATGCACACAAGAGTCAAAGACAGTGAACTTGTGTCTGCTTGAAGCAGTCGCGTGCAACCTGCCCACAGTGGAAACACCTAATATTGTATCTGCTCGTGTGTCAACCTATCCCACGGCCTTCTGCCAACTAATCTTAGTGGAGGGTAACATTCCAGGGCAGGAGGGTTAAGAATACTTCCAGCAGCTCCTGTGCTCGGGTTAGAGTCTGCCAGCTACGAGGGTTGGCACGGCCGTACTGAGAGCAAGCTGGAGACAACTGTGTGTATCCACAGTGTTGTGTGTTGTGTGTGTGTGTGTGTGTGTGGTGTGTGTGTGTGTAGGATCCTGCAGCTTCACAACAGCGCTTGGCTATTCCAAGGCTTCTGTGTCGTTCGGGCCAGCTGTCTCGTCAATTGACTGCTATTTTGAGTCTCCTGCAGACGGCACCGCTGTCTCTCTGAGAGACGAGGCCTTTCGGAAATCTCAGGCTGAGGGGGGGGCATTGGGGGAATACTTGGCATGCTTCTCCCACTGTATATGATTAGCTTCAGAGGGTCTGACAGCAATGTGGCAATAACACTAACTGGCAAGGAGACTTCCTTACAGCTCTTTACGCTTGGAGGTATAAAAAAAAAAAAGGTTTTTCTGTGGTTTAATTTTTGGCCACAATGATATCATCATTAGTCATGAAGCCCCTCGCGGCGTAGGCGTGATGTAGGACATTTGACATGTCAAAGTTTGCAAAGTGGGGGGAAATTGTGTTTACATTGCATAGCCAAGTGATTTTGTGAAAAGGCGAGCCTCTGACGGATATGTCAGAACAAGCCTAATGGTGTGCTAATAAAAAGCCTCAATGCAGCGGCGTCGTAACAACCGGCACGCTCCAGCAAACGAACAAAGCCCAAAAGCTATGATGAAATAGAGGCAATCAAAGGAGACAGCGAGGGATTGAATACCAGCTTTCTGCGTGACCTGAGGCTTCATTACATTCGTGCCACTGACAGGAAGAGTCTTTACTGCCGCTCTCTACATTCATGTCACTTTCCTGTTGACTGGGACTTGACATTTGGGAAGAATAAGCTGCTTCCCCCTGTTGTCTGTCTGTAAGCTGGACTAAGCATCGAGGCAGACACACAGAAATTCGAAGCGGTTTCCTAAAACTGGTCATCCCCCTGTCTTTCCTCGGCTCCGAGCCAAAGCCGTTTCCTAATAAAGGAAGAAGTGTCTCTTTCCATCTGGCAGGTGGGAGGAGGGGGTTTACAAATGACGACGGGATGCACCACATCCTGGAAACGTGGACCTATGGGGCCAGTCTACGTCACTTTATCTAACTGTCATTTCCACTTTCAGAAATGTACATAACACGGTGGGATATTCACTTCCCTTCCTTCAAGAAAGGACTGCAATGCGGATGGGGAGGGGATATGACAATTCCCAGCACGTTCACCAGTGGTCAAATTCACACACCGACGAGTTCCCTTTCTTCTGTCCGAGCAGCAGAGAGCTGATGAGATGCTTGGTATTCTGCGGAGGATTTCAGGTGGCTAAAAATACAAGAAGGCAGGCGCGGCTTTGCCCTTTTCTTTTGAACCGAGGTGAAGATGCCCACAAGGGAAGAGAAAGGCTGACACATAAGAAACACAGGCTACAACAAGTGAAGGCGCCTCCGTTTGGCATCTAAAAAACATCATTCTTTTAAGAAGAACAAAGCAAAGAAATCAAACTGCATTGTGAACATCAGAAAGAAAGAAAAATCCTGAAGAAGAAGGTCACATTTCTGTGTATGAATCCCGCTAATCTACTTGCATTCCCCTGGACGGAGCAGCTGCCATGTAACAGGTCGCAGCCTTGCTTGCAGATTGCTGAGAAAAAAAAGACAGAGAAACAATTCAAAAGGTGCCGTTTGAACTCCATTGGAGACATTTTCACAGTAAATCACATTATTATTATCGTTGAAAGAAGGGCCAGAGAAGGTGGGGGGATAAGAATGGAGGCGACGACATGGAAGGTGGCGGAGGAGAAGCTTGTTTGTTTGCCGTCGCGCTAACGAGTGCAACAAGACGTGAGAATTCGTGGCACCCTGAGCGAGGAAGGGACAACTTTATAGCCTGCATGTACAACTCTTCCCCCTCTTAAAAACAACCCAGCCCCTCCTCCTTTCACCCTTCGTCTACTAAGGTCAGTTGGATGATTTATTGAGGCCCCCCACTATCTCTAGCACCACCCACAAGCAAGACACTAGTGCTGCTATTGTAACAATTTAAAATATTGCATTTCAACCATGAGTTTTGAAAATTGTACTTAAAAATGACTTAGGATTTACTTGAAAATATATTATGTTCATTTTAAAATTAGATTTTTGTGCAAGAAATGTAGTCAAATAAGTGCATCCATAATATTCATCTGTTTGCAACTTATATATATCAATATTCCAATTCCTTGTATATAGACTATTCTGCACTATTTCTATTATATTCTATTTTCTTGCACTATTATCGGTTTTATTGTTGTTGCACTGTTGGAGGAGCCTGTGACCTAAGATTGTCATAACTACACTGTAGCTATGCACACATGACAATAAAAGCTTCAAATCTTGAATCCTCTCACCTGTCCTGCAGTCTGAGCCCATCCAGCCGCCGAGGCACAGCTGGGCTCCCGACGGCTCGCAGCGGTAGTGTCCAAAGTAGTCGTCCCGAGGAACACACAGCTTGTTGCACTTGTTGCTGTAGTAGTTTTCGTCGCAGCGCACTCGGATGCGGTAGGCGATGCGAGCCACGGGTCCGTCGTGCAGGATGGTCTGCCAGGCGTCTCCGGGGTTGATCATACCGGTGTGGGTGCTGCGCTCGATCAGCAGCTCCTCATCATCAACTGAAACAAAGAGATGATGAAGGCAAATCAGTCACGTCAAAGTTGGGAATATATGTGTTCTCATTTGACCACAAAACAAAAGAAGATAAACATTTTAAAACACCCCCATCTCTCCTTACAAATCACCTGCAACCGAAGAAGACTGAAGAAAAGAATACCAGGATAAATGTTACAGAAAGGACTTGGGAGCATCAAGACTAATTCCTCAAACAACTAGGGGTGTACTGCTGTGGCTCAGGAGGTAGACCAATAAGAAGGTCAGTGGTTCAGTCCCGAGTCAGCATGTCGTTGGGTCCTTCGGCAAGATCCTTAACCCCAAATTGGTCCCGATGGCCAAAAGGTGTGTGAATGGTTTAATGGCGACTTGTATAAAAGCTCTTTGAAGCGAAAAATAAGTGTATGTCGATCGATTTACTATTTGACCAAATTGTTTCCCTAAGGATTTGGAAGAGACCAAAACAATTATAAAAAAGGGAAGAAATATTGGATGTCGTGAAGTGGACAAAAACACGACTCTAATTGATGGCTAATTTCATTCTGTAGCTGCTGGATGTGCAAGTAAACCACTATTCAATTTCAAGTGTCGAGTTGCTCACAAAAGGGCCAGGAAAAAGTGCTTCAGCTGTCAATGATGTAATAAATTCATCAGAAGATTATATACACTACGATCTGTGTGTGTTAGCATCTCAGCAATAAGACAATCAGTAGAAAATCCCACTAAAAGTCAACATCGAGCTTAACGTAATAAGCCTTCATAACTGTGTTTAGTCAGTCTTCCCAACAGGAGGAAAGCAAACACTCAAACAGACCTAAGAAGGCCCCCATCTGTCATTGCATTTAGTAAAAAATAGTTATTTGAAACACAGAAAACCGACAATGATGTGGAATCTCCCTTACTCTGATGTAAAGTCACTCCCTCACAAGACGAGTGGATTGGTATTCAGCAGAGGGAAGCTTTGATATCACATTATGTGGCTGTGTGAAAGTACCCCTGAATTTTAAGTACGCAATTGAAATTCATTGTCTGCAAATTGATCTATTTTCTGGTGACAGAACAGCGGTGCCTCTGAGCTGTCTGTATGTGCACCGTCATGTCGGGAGGTTGCTACCATTTAGCCTCCAGCTCGCCAACGCTCCCATTAAACATTGTTTGCCTCCGAGGGGCTCCGGCTCAAGAAAGAAAGCAATCTTTATCACAGTGGGATCGAAGCCGGCAAACAATCTCTGTGGAAATAGGGGGTCTGCGATTTCCTTTTTTTTTTGGTTCACTATGGCTTTGGACTGCAATGCACCATAGACATTTTGAAGCAGGAACACACACACATGCACCTTCCTCTGCTGAGGGACTGACACAATGTCAGACAGAATTAAGCAACAATAACAGAAATAACCCCCGGCAGTTGTCAGATAGAGAACAATGGGCTCCGGGCCCACAGTCCACTCGGTGTCTAAACACTGAGCCCGGCCGCCCAGTCCACTCCACTTCCTGCTCGATAACACAAGGAAAACAGCCGGCTGCCTTCCTGAGAACACAAGGGGTAACGGAGGGGTGGGGGGGGGGGGGGGAGGCGCACTGGAGGACGTGACGCCGGAGGAGAGGAATCTCACTGACAACACGCTGATGGGCTCTTACGTAGGACAAGACAATCAGGCCGGTGCTGACTCAGGATAAAGAACACGTTTCAGTGTCCCACAGATACACCGTCATGAATTTCAACATCTCACTTTGTTACAAATTCTTTTTGCAGGCATCACTGAAGGGTTTCTCACCAATTCCCATACTTTTGACTTGGGAGGGGATGGCGAGAAGGGGGATCAGAGAAAGATTGCATGCCCAAAATGTACCGTTGCTTGTAACAAAAATGAAAGCAGAGGCAACAGTAAAAACATTTCCATATAGATACAGATGTGCCAAGTGGTCACAAAACTACCCGATACGACTCCATGTCTACCAGCTGCAGTTCAGGATGATCAGAGAACTAAACTGCCTTTCGATGGATGCTTATCTTAAATAAAAGTAATTGGTGGTTCTATTGTAGAAACCGCCTTTGTAAATGCTTCCAACCTTGTTTTTTTTTTACAATTGTTTCATCAATATGTGGTTGGATGTGAGCCTGCAGATTCCTGTGTTGTCTGGATTTGTCCAACGGAAATAGGTGGAGATCCAGTTCTCAGTGCTAATAGGAAGTAAACTAAAAACCAAATTAGTGTTGTTGTCTGCATAATAGAAACAAGGCCATGTGAAATGTGACTGCTGGGAGTCTTAAAATGTCACAACATCAAGCTTTTCACGCGATCAAACGCCAGCTCTGTCAACAAGTAGCAGTTAAAACTAGGGCTGTCAAACGATTACAATTTTAAATCAGATTAATCACAGCTTAAAAATGAATTAATCATGAGTAATCACTATTCGATTTTCTATGTCCAAAATATGCCATTTCTTTATGTATATTGTTGTGGGAATGGAAAGATAAATGAAAGAAGGCGGATATATCCATTTAACATACAGTATGTATGTTTATTATAACATTGTTCTGTGTGTCAAAATGAAAGACAGCCCACACACCTATCATCATCAAACCGTGGGGTCTTAATTCATTACGTGTTGATTTCTATCAACACGTAATGTTGTATCGATGTATATAGAGGTGTAGGCTACTGTAGGCTTCCTGCAACAACACCACGCAGTTCTCTTGATTCTGATTGGCCAGAAGACATTATCAAAGACGTTCTATTGAGAAAACCGTTTCTAGTCTTCGGTATTTCCAGACAAGTGGCTACTGAAATCAATCTTACTAACTGCTGTCTGTGCAATTTACTCCGCACGAGTTGGCGGACTTTATTTTGCTTCCTTTAACATCATTTTTCATGGTGGGGCTAAAATGGGGCTAAGCCATTTCTTGGTATGGGTGTAGCCTACCCCAGCCATACCCTGGCGCTGCCACTGGTGGGATGTATGGGGCGGGCCATTCTGCACATGCGTAAATGCGTTAAATATTTGAACGCAATTAATTCAAAAAATGTATTACCCCGCCGATAATTTTGACAGCATAAGTTAAAACAAACCTATTCTACTATCACGCACTATGACTCTCTAAAAATGGGTTGTGGCTTCCTGAAAGTGTTAAATATGGTACAGTATTCCTTTAGAATCACCCAATAAATAACAAATAAGGTCTATCATGTTATATCTTGAGTATGTGTATTAAACCAAAGCAATTTTTTTTTACCTAAACCAAGTATTTGCTTTGATACCAAGGGACAATTAGGTGGCTTTCCTACACGTCTTTGTAACAAATTCGTCTTTGATCACAAACTGTGAAACTCAAGCTCTGATTTCTCAAATGAAATGTATGTGAAGTGATGCATGTGCCGTGACATTACATATTAAAGTGTGAAAACAAATCAAAAATAACATAATGAGTGTGACCTGCAGGACAAAGGCTACAATCGCTCCTGCGACTCGCTGCGACCCTGCAGACGTTTCCCACTTCAAGCAGACGCCACTTGTGATCTCTCAGTGAGGTTGAAAGGAGCATTTGTTCCAGACGCTTGTGTTTCTTGAACCCATGACATTAAGGTTAAAGTCAGCTGATGTCTGCGACCTGACAGCAGCCTCAGTGGTGAGTCTAAAAAAAAAAATTGTTTTAAATCACATAATTCTTACTTTGATTAAAAGCAAAGAGGGAACGAGTTTCCTTTCTAATCTTATGCCAGTGAATTGAATCAAAGCAGGCATTTATTTTGCTACCTTAAAGCAATTTGAGACTGAAGTGCGAGTGGCAGAAAATCAATTGGACGGCTTCTTAAGCAACATTAAGGGCCTTACATCCATCACAAACATCTACACTACACAACTACACAAGGAATTGCAACCGTCTAATCAAGCGCTATGATGTCAAATCTATTTCTTCTCCATTGGTCTGCGTCCGCGAGTGGAAGTGCGTTTGAAGTTGTGGACAAAACAGGATTAATGACCTCATATAAATAAAATGGCAGCATGTTTAGACTAGAAAAACAGTATGGAATATAAATACATTCATGTACATATTTCAATGTACAGAACGCTTGAGACCCGTGAAAAATGTCACCGCGTCCACGGATCAAAGCTACATCCATTCCATACACACAGACATTTCAGTCCTCAATGGGTCCTCTTCCTCCCAGACTAGGCTACTGCTCAGACGGGAAAAGGGGTTATACAGGAGTCCACCCAGCGGACATAACTGAAGGAAAAACAGGATACAGCTGGAGCCGAGGAGAACCAAGACGTGAAGTCTATATGAATCGTCTGAGGGGCTACAGTATACGGTTTCAACATGTTTTCACCTCTACCTACTAAAGGCTTAAGCAAACACTTCATTTACAATAAAACATGAAATACACATTGTGTGATTTAAAGAAGTGAACAGGAAGTGTCATAACACTCGTAATTTCTGATGCGGGGGGTTTCATTCAAGATTATTTTCAATTCGTCTAAAGATTATTTGACTTATTTTTCAATGGAAATTCAGAAAATAAAGAAAGAAACTTCTCTTATAATACTCCAAGAACTAGCTAACATATTCAATGTGTTATGTCTGAGACCAACAGTCAAAGAAACAACATGTTTCAGATACCTTCATATGCAGATCTAGGAAGCATTAATATTCTCATCCTAGCGGCAGCCATTATTGATGTTTTGAGGCATTTTGCTTGAAATTATCGATTCAAATCTTAAAAAGCAACCAGCATCACCGCTTCCTCCGCTCTCCTTCACTGGCTTCCGGTAACTGCTAGAATCCACTTCAAGACACTGGTACTTGCTTACCATGCTGCGAATGGATCTGGCCCTTCCTACATCCAGGACATGGTTAAACCGTACACCCCAGCGCGTGCACTCCGCTCTGCATCAGCCAAACAACTCGCTGCGCCCTCGCTGCGAGGGGGACCCAAGTTCCCATCGGCGAAAACAACGTGGGTTTGCTGTCCTGGCTGCTCCAAAATGGTGGAATGAGCTCCCCATTGACATCAGGACAGCAGATAGCTTACACACCTTCCGGCGCAGACTGAAAACTCATCTCTTTCGACTCCACTTCGAGCGATAGATTTATTAACGAAGCACTTTATACTAATAAAGGACTGGCTTATCTAAAGCCAGTTGAGTAGCACTTGAAATGTTTGGCTCTATGAAACCTGATGTACTTTATGATTCTGTTTTCTTCAAGGTTGTGTCTTCCCTGGTCGAATGTACTTATTGTAAGTCGCTTTGGATAAAAGCGTCAGCTAAAATGCAATGTAATGTAATGTAATCACATAGTCAATGCTGCTTAACATATTTCAAACGATGGCATGCCCGCACAAGTCCTTTTAGAAATCTTACTTAAAATCCTTTAAAACCACATCCATATATTTCTCTGTTAATCACAGTTAATGAAAGCAACAGCAGTTCGAGGTGTGTGAAGACTTACTGTTGCGTGTGCCGTTGTCCCAGTCCCAGGCTGCTACGATCACCGTGAACGTCCGCTGGAGAGGAAGGAAGAAGAAGAAGTGAGTCAGGTGAACATCTTGACAAAAAAGCATCAGTTTTTACTTCATATCCCCAACACATAGAGCAAGAGCTACTTTCTGTGCACGTACTGAGCGATGAGACTGATGTCCTTTGGAGTAGCAATGCCTCAAGTTGCATCTAGAGCGAATGCATGGTGCAAATAATATTATAAAACAGCTGTATTATCAAATATTCTCGATTTGAAGTCTCCTTTTCTTTCAATGAGCACTAGAATTAGTCAAAGCCCACTTAAAGTCTGACATTTTAAACATGATCATTTTAGTATTTAATTATAATATGTTTTTGTAAATACTAGAATAATCCCATGACATCAAATTAGGCATGAAGTCTCGTCTACTCTTCACAGTAAAAAGGGAACATTTAGAACAGCATTTGTTATGTTGTTCCCAAATGGACTAATAAGTAAACATGACCTTTTATCACAATGTCCCTCTTATAGAGAGAATAATGTGGATGATCTTTTTGGCGATGGTCACACAACTCTTCTACAAGCTTCAGCTCACACGCACACAAACACGATGCATAATCGATTTCACTGCTACTACAGAGTCTCGTATGAAACTTGGCCCCGTTACTCCGAGGTGCGCTTGAGTTACACCGTCAATGAAACCCAATGATAGAAAGATAAGGAGCAACATACGGTAAGTACAACTGTGGGAAGAAGCCAAGAGAAGCTGCAAGAGTGAGATGTGGAGAGGACATAAGAGAACGGCAAACTGCCTGCACACTTTCCTCTAGGTCAGAATGCGGTGTGGTGGAGCTGCAAAAACCCTGGGAACAAATGCTATAATGTGTCATTGAGTTCAACGGACATCAATGCAGACACAATCTGCAAAAACAAGTAGCAGAAAAGAGTTACGTGAGAAGAGTAATGCAACTCTGTATGGATAGCATGAAGCCAATTAACAGCTAGTTTTTAACTTCTACACTTTTTTCATGTCAACATTTCAAACACCAATATACAGTATAATGTACTGATAATTGTGTATGATAATATTTGGTTTTGTGTATGTATTTCACATCTAAATTGTATTTTTATATAAGCCATAAAGGGTATACCACACCCTAACACATACTTTTTTTCATGTGATCGGTATTTGTGTGAAACAAATACACATCAATAGCTTTTTGTGTGTATTAGAATTATTTAATCGGAACAAAAACTGAAGTATAAAAACGACAACTTTTCTGAAATTCCACCAGGACTGTTTTACATTTTTTTTAAAAAGCAGGTCACCATGTTTTTAGGAAAAATAAAGCCTCAGCATGTTTGATGTACATTAAGAAGGTGACTTTGCCAATATTCGCTGTCTGAGATGAACGCTGCCTGGCTTTGTCCTTGCTTGTCAGACAGAGAAGTAAATCAGCAGCTAAGGGGATTATCACTATAACAGTTGACCAGTAAAACAGTAGTGGGGCAATGATGAAAGCCTTTTAGTCTGTAATGAAATGAATTACTTTATTAATCAATTAGTGGATAATCAGAAATGGTATGAACAAGAAGGGGATCCATTGCATAATGAAGCAGAAATGTCAATTAGGGGGATTTTATATAGTTTTATGGAATTTGGTTTTAATTGTTATGTGAAGATGTTGGCTTGAGCTCTTGTAAAATAGGATAGCTACTATTCATTATTGTCTGACTTATTGGACTATATAAACAAACAGATTATAAATGTGTGACCCAAGTTTTATCTGGGACACCATTTACTAATGCACGCATCAGTGCCCCAAAAAACAGTTTTGATTTATTTAGCAATATAACAAATATTATTTCATTTGAAATATTCCATGTTGTCAATTTAGGTAAACACTTTAACTGATATTTGATGGTTGTTTGGAGGGATTGTTCCGACTAATTATTTGCAATGACGTAGCAAAAAACATGAGCCGACGCTGGTTTGAGTAAACATGAACACACAGACGGAAACCAAACGAGCTAACCAGCATCAGAAGAGTAATCTAGCTGGTGTGCTGCAGGGCACACTGCTAGGCAACCAGCTGACCTAAATAACAGTCATTACGTCACCACCAGTGACAGTTGTAGTAGCCACAGAGTGACTGCTGTGACCTCTACTGTAATGTCATTGATAGGACGTTGGCCTGGGGGGTGGGGGTACAAAAAAAAAGCATAAGGCAAGTATTTGAGGGACTTCAATGCTTCAATGAAGCGGGGAAGAGAAATCCCAGGGAGGGGGATTGGATGTGTGTGTCAGTCTGTGTTGTTGATCTGGGGGACCAACAAGCTGGTAGGCTGGTTGCTGCTGGGCTGTGGGATTAAGAAGGCTTGTCTGGCTGTGGGTGGTGGCGGGAGGAAGGGGAGGGGAGTGTTATTGTGGAAGACCATGGGTGACAAGAGAAGGGAATAGAAGATGACAGGAGAGGGGTGAGCTAAAGGGCTTGGGTCGGACCTTGGACAACGGAGGGGGGTACAACTGCATGAGACTGTAGCTACTGGAGAGACACAAGAGGCCACAACTAGGCTTTGGTTTGGGGAGGTGGGTGTGGACGAAAAGGGCTATGGAAGAAAGAAGTGAGTCTGGGGGTTTGGCGACACTCGTGCCGCAGTTTCTGGAAGCTCTGCCAACCCGTCCGACCGCAGACGCACAACAGATGCAGCCTCAAAGATGGATTATTTGACATGAACGTGATCATCCCACGACATGTAGCTCGGCTTCTGACCTTTCCACCCAATCCCCCTCCCCCCACCACAATAGGGTGGGCGAGCTGCCTCAGTCTGAGCATGTGGGTGGGTGTGTGCATATGCCAATGCATACAAGAGGGACTTTGAGTGGCAATGAATGAATTAGTGGCAGGAGATCTTCGGATGATGCCTGTATGGGACGACTGTGCAAGTTTTGCAGACAAACCTCGTCACAAAGCAGAATCAAAAGATCAAGGGAAGAACAGGTGGCCGTGTTGTGACCTCCAGCACCTAAAACCCTGCTCCCTTGCATGCCTACGTGTTGTAATTGTTTGGGTAAGTAGTTCCCAGAGTGAGTGCATGTTGGGTTGAGCAAAGCCACGGACTAGTCTGGTTTCCCACAGACCATCCCACTCTGTGATTAGCTGGATTAAGTGACAGCTGCCCAAATGGTTGGAACAAGATAGATGGATGGGCAGGGGGATAAAGGGGAGGTGTGGGGGAGGGAAGGGGGAAAGGCTACTGAACAAAGGCCCTTGTCCCAACATCATAACTCACCCCCATCCCAATCAAAACCATTGTCCACGAAGAGACACAGTCAGCACGAGGACAATTAGTGTCAGCATGTGTGCTGCTGAGCCTGGGCAGTCAGTCGCAGGGCAAAGTCAAAAAAGCTTCCAGTGGATCTCGCATGAGTCTTAATGTTTTTACCAATTACAAAATATCAGAGGTGTACCTTGATTTCATTACCAGCACTTTTTGATATACTCAAAAAACATGCGTCAGCTACATTTGACAGAGTGAACGACTTTATCCCAGACCACGTCCTCTGTCAGTCAAACCTCCAAAACCCAACCAGGCCTATCCCCTAATGGATAAGAGGATTTACTCACAGAAATCCTAGTTTTCAAGTCAAGAAGGGGGGCATGGTTAGAAAAAAGATGTTTATTTGTCTTGTTCTCAGTGAATTTGTGTCAAATGTTGTAACCCTCAAGTGCCCTCTTTGCATCACTAAGCACAAAATGGACCAAACGTCAGTGATGGATTAAATTCAGGTATTCAAGGCTTGTCTTGGGAGAGCCACAGGTGTAGGTTCCCACGCTAGATCAGGGGTGAATTTGTAAGTGGAAGGTGGCCATTGAAATACATTTTTAAAAAGGGACAGGGAACAGGGAGAGGTAGCAGTGGGAAGTGGAAGCCGGGGCAGGTTGGGGTCACTAAGCATGGGATCTGCACACTTCTTTTTCAAAAGAGGGGTCAGCCCTCTGCATGTGGGGCGATGTGCATGTTTGCATTTGAAGAATACTAAGAATGTGAGATCCAGGCCTGGTGTGTAATCCCATGGGAGATCCCAGTCTGCCAACAATTGGTATCAAGGGAAGGCTGCTTTGTAGATCTGTGGTTTGATTGACTTATTTCTGCCTCTTAGGGAAAGTGGGGACCTCAAATGTTGATTATTTCTAGGTTCTGTTCTTTAGGCAACTATAAGAATCACTGATGTTTACTCACAATAAAAACACACCAAGGTTGAGTTATTTTAGCACCCATGTCATGGATAGGTGACCTGAATTTTCACCTCCCTGTAACATCTGATTTATTGCCTTCTGATGGGACATGAGGTCATCACGATTCATCCCGTGGCCAGTAATCGCTGCATGTAATCTTCATTAATCTGTGATGTCAATCCCAGCTTTTGGTTTTTACTCGGGCTGAGTCTACACTATTCCAGTAAGGGCAATCGAGCTGCGCCATCTCTGCGCACAACACCATGCGATGCACCTTCTACCTTCTTCAGACACTCATCTTTGGAATTACTGGTCAAAATATAGAAAAGCAACCACAAATGGGCAGTAATTAGGAATTATAGAATGAAAGCCATCCCATAAAATGATCCTAATCTATTCTGAAAAGTCAGTTGCATCTTTCATTCTTATTAGCAGATAAGACTTACGGGAAGCGAAACAATTTGGTATAATTAACTCCCAATGATACCGAGGGTAATTAAAGAATTAGACAACAAAACAGGCTGAATGTCACAAAGTCTAGACACCCTCTGTGATTTCAAATGGGAGGGGGGATTGTTTGGGGGTTGGGGTAGCAGCGTCTTCCAATCAAGGCTGAAAAGTAGAAAAAGTAGATGTGTGCTGAACCATCTTCACATCACTTCTCCCTGGAGGGTGGACCCAAATGCAAATCTCTCTCAGTCTAGCTCCTCAATCTGTTCAGAGGCAAGGATCAAAGACCTCCAGCGGCAAAATCCTTGCAAATGTGAGGATGGTGTTGGCAGGCAGAGGAGTATAAGTTGGAAAG